ACCCCCCTCTCTCCTCTGACACTGCCACCACTAGTGCAGGCCTTCATCACCTCATGCCTGGATTATTGCAATAAATAGTCTGATGGTGGGTCTTCCTGCCTCAGCTCTTGTCCTCACTCCAATCCATCCTCTATTCAGCCACTAAAGTGCAGGTCTGACTGTGTCACCCCCACTACTCAATAAACTCCACTGGCTCCCTATTGACTTCAGGATCAAATACAAAATGCTGTTTGGCATTCTAAGCCCTTTATACCCTAGCCCCCTACATTTATATCCTAGCCCAAACCTCTATTTCCAGCCTCATCAGATACAACTCCCCCTCCTGCATGCTATGATCTGGACTTCTCTGCTCTCACAATCTGTCACTCTATCTCCATTGCACCCGACCATCCATCCCCATGCCTGGAATTCACTCCTCCCTAACATGTGACTCAACATTCTTCTCTTCCTTTAAGATGCAGCTCAATTCCCACTTTTTGTGTGAAGCCTTTCCTGATCCCCCCAACTGCTCACTAGAGCCCTCCCTCCTAAACTACCTTGTATTTAATTATTTTATTTGCTTTAATTCATTTTACATTTATGCTTCATATACTTCTATATGTACTTGTCTTAGCCATTAAAATTTAAGCTCTTTCATTTTTCGTACTTGTATCCCCAGCACACAGCACAATGCCTGGCACATATAAGGTAATTCAAAATGCTTGCTGTTGACCTTAAAACAAAGTTGTGTGGGTTTTAGGAAGAAGAGAAGAATTTTTTTGAACCAGAAGTATAATTCTTAGTATAGACCAAAGACTCTATCTTCCCAGAGATGATGGGATAGGGATCCCTTCAGAGGTAGCAAAAAAGGATGCACTGTGGAAGGATAACTCCACAAGTTTGAAAAATCTGGTGCTAGGGAGCTCAACATTTTCCCAAGTACTATAGATAGCCTTGCTTGTACCAAGTTCAAATTTACTGCCAATATGTTTATTATTATTATTATTATTATTATTTTTTTTTAGGCAATTGAGTTTAAGTTACTTGCCCAGAGTCACACAGCTAGTAAGTGTCAAGTGCTTGGTCTGAGGCCGGATATGAACTCAAGTCCTCCTGACTTCAGGGCTGGTGCTCTATCCATTGTGCCACCTAGCTGCCCTACCACCAATATGTTTAATTCAACTAGTAATTTCTCATTAATGTAAGCCCACCTTCAAAGTTATCTTGCTCTTTCATCAACTCAAGCCTTTTTTAAAAATAGGTACTACTTTCAAATTCTGCCAGCCTAAGACTGAGTAAGGGAAGTAGGGATGATAAAATCTCTCTTCCCTATAATTTGAAAGTTCTCAAATTCTGAATCAAATCATCCTCAAAGTAGTGAACTAAACAAAATTTTGACCCCTGCATAAGGTGGGGAGACAGGAAAGGCCTAATAAGGAAAAGCTTTCTATAATACAACAACTATGTGTTTGAAAATTTGGAAAGTATAGGAGAAATTATGGAAAGCAGAAGAAAAGCTTAAGAAAACGAAGGTTGAGTCCTTTCAGTTTAAATTATGATACCATATTAGCATTTTGAGCCAATCTGCTTTAGGCCAGCAGGGTCATAGCATACCAAAATTTATGAGAGGAAACACTATGTTCAAAGATTGATTCTACTCTCCTTCCATTGTCAATCATTTACTTCCTTCTTCCACGTTCACTCAAAATCAACACCCCATCTTAAAAATTATTTCACTGGTACACTCAGTTTAGAGAATGAGGGGACGGGGACACGGACATGGACACACACTTTTCTTACCTACCAATAATACCAAGTCTTAGACTCTAATTAATACTATCCATTCTTCACTTAAGTTTGTGAGGAAAAAAAGCGTTCATGATTTATCCTTTTATTTCTAACATACTAGCTGGCCTCTGAAGAATAGCCAGCCAATTGGTAGTTGAGAAACTAAGAGTTGGAAACCTAGCAACTTTATTCAAGGGCAACTCTTGGAGGTTTTTTTCTTTACCTTTAGATTTCTGGTTGCCTAACAGGATATGATGTATGCTACAGACAACATGAAAAATTAACAGAAGTAAATAGTATCTAAAAGAAGGGTAGAACAGGACCAAACAAATGAACAACAAAAAGAAAGGTTCTTCACTTTGAAGAGACTACAGTAGGTGATCAGTTTTGACAACTTCTTTAAAAAGTGATGTGGCAAAATTCTAACTCTCCTTCCCTTTTTTTCTAAAGGGCCAGAACAACTGCTACTGTGCCCACTCTGGAGGCAGATGGCAGTTCTCATGCAGTGCAGGCAACCAACCCACATACTACTGAAAATAGGTTTGTAGGGCCAAAGGTTACCAACCCCTGGACCAAAGTTGGAAAAGGAAGATCTGAGGCCTACATATAAACATTTGCAGAAGGCCATTACCCTGATTTCACCTCACTGTAGGGCAAAGATGCCTTCATGAGTGCAGAGAGGATCTGGACAAGGTTAAGCCCATAGGTAATTTGAACACAAAGGGCGTTAAAGTTTAATTCTTAAAATATTTGTTTTTAAAAACACACACACACACACACACACAATCTCCATACACATCACAGGCTCAAAGCCTGCCTCACTCAAAAGACTCACCTAACTCTGTGGGCTTCAGCAATTCATCCAAGATATTAAAGAAGGGCAGTTTCACCAGGCGGACTTCTGGCTTGACAACTTTAGAAGGTAATCGTCCAAGTCCATTTAGGTATTTCCCATATAGTACAGGATAGTCAATGTTGGGAGTAGAAATAGAAGTCCTGGGGACAGTACTTCCCCGGTCATAGGAAGAATGTATGGAGAGCGGGTCCAAAGGCCGGTGGGGTTGTACAGGATCAGAGCTCTTCTTGGCATATCGAGTCTCATAGAGTTCCTTAATTTTCTTGAAGACTTCAGGGCTGCAGTCAAACTGAACAAGCTGTAGTGCCCTGGTGACAAGTTCATGTTTAAGTCCACTCTTACTTCGGCCAACAAAACCAAGAAGCATCTGGAGATCGGAGACTCTAAAACTCATCACCATGTTCTAAAGAAGAGCAACCGTGGGGGGAGAGAAGTCTTAAAATTAGGAACAATCAGTAAAACTTAAAAAGCACTCTTGTAATCTGGCAGGCCAGGTTTCAGAGTGCTGAAATGAAAAACACTCTCAATGCAACACCTACTCTTCTGAATTCATCAGACACCCTCAACTAGTCCTGTCTTCACCCTCCACTTGGGGCAGGAAGTTACTTAGAAGGCAGATATCTTTCCATCCTTTGTCCTTTTCTCTTACTCCAGTCACTAACCCACATCCTTACCTTTGCCCAGGCCATCCTCTCTACCCTGAGTACATCTCCTATTTCTTCTCCTATCTATCTTCTATGTTTCATCTCAAGAACCCAATCTTCCACTAAATTGTCCCTGACTCTCTTCCCACCCAGTGATCTCCTCTCCTCACTTCTCTCTCTCTCCCTCCCTCCCACACACACTCTGAACTTAAAGCACTTATTTTCTATGCCTCTGAATAATAGTTGTCTTTGTGTTTAACCATCTTGTATTCCCAGATACATCTTACATTTATGTAATCTCCACCACACAAAGATCATAGTAGATACTTAACGAATACTGTTCATTAGACCACAGTAGTTGCCTTCTGAAAAGAACTGAAGCCATGAACAATGTGTACACAACTCTGTGATAGTCCAAGGTATTTATCTGGCATCACCAAAGAGGAAAAAGCATACAAAATCAGATCAGCAGATTTTAACAGTTTATGTTGTCAGAGAAGTATCTTCTACTTTTTAGTAAAATGGGGTTAAGAAGAGTTATTAAATACTGATAGTCAAAGACTATACACATTCTCCGTAATATTCAAAGTTAGCCATGGAGAATGAAATGTGATAGAAATTTGGAGAATTGAAAACACATGGTAGAGGGGTCAAGGAAGTGGGAATTCAACTAGATGAGCACAAGAACTCAAAAGAAATATATCACTTTACTAGTACTTTACCATTCTGACTCAATTTTGGTTTGCTGGGAACATAGGCAATGATGCTTATATAAAGTCAACTCCACCAGAAAATGTATTTCCAATTTCTGATTATTTAAATAGACAAGCTCAAGCCTGAATTAATATATTTCTACATCTAGTTTAATAAACAGCTTTGTATTATAATAGAAAGAAGATGAACCAGGAGTCAAGAGACTAGAATTAGTCTAGGCCAGGGGTGGGGAACATGTGGCCCTTCGACTGAATCCAAACTTCACAGAACAAATCCCCTTAAAAAGAATTTGTTCTGTAAAACTTGAACTCAAAGGGCCGTATGTGAGGACCTAAAGGGCTACATGTGGCATTGAGGTCACCTGGTAGATGGTGCTATAGTATCAATACCAATGCAAAAAGATTTGTTCAAGATAATGCCTAGAGCTCTTCAGTTTCAAAGAGTTATGAGGAGGAAAATATTTTGTAAATCTTAAAAGCATTAGGTAATGAAGTTTTGGGGTGTGTGAAACAAAAAGAACAATTTAAAATGTTTTGTGTTCTAGTTCTCTATGAGGACTTTTAATCTGTGGTCTGCTAACTTTTTTTTTTTTACATTTTGATATACGTTTTACTATATCTGGCTTCTTTTGTAATCCTATGTGTTTTACTTTACATATTTAAAAACACCATTCTAACAATGATTCTAAATATTATTCTAAGGGCTCATAGGTTTCAACACACTGCCAAAGGGGCTCACGACACAAAAAAGGTTAAAAGCCTCTGCTCTAAATAGTCAACTCTGGTCCAGTTACCTGAAATCCTGTATCGCTCAAATGGGTAGGACAGTTATGGACAAGTAGAACTGACCACTAGCAATAACCACTCTGTGGTTATCTGTGGAGGCAGCTACAAAGAAAAGGCCCACTCAAATATGTAGCTAACTCACATATGAATATGGAAAACACCACATTGATAATACCGGGCAGATGGATAACGTAACAGAAAGGTTTTCAACTGTATGCCTTCCTCAAATTGCTTGTAGGCAAGAACAGGCCTCTTGGAATAGACCCAAGCTCTTAGAGGGAAAGGGCTATGTCATTGTTGAAGACAGAGTAGTAACAAATGGAGACTGACCCTTTGCTTATTGAGTATGAAAAAGGATTCCAAATGAAATTATATGAACTATAAGCCTTAAAGAATAACATAAGCATAACTTATTATTGATATTGTCCAGACACTCTCAAAAGAGCCTGCCTATCAACAATGGACCAAGATAAAAGAGCTCTCTATGATGATCTTGGGACATCTTAAACCTCCCTTGCTCAAGAAGCTTCAGTGGCTCTCCACTGCCTCTAGGATAAAATATCAACTGTTTGACATGTAAAGGCCTGTGCCATCGAGCTCCAATCTACCTCTTCAGTCATTTCATATTATTCCCCTTTATACATTCCAGCCAAACTGGCCTTTTTGCTGCTTCCTAAACAACATTTTATCCCATTAGTGCTCCTTCTCCATAACTAGAACGTTCCCCTCCTCACTGCCTTCTGAAATTCCTAGTTCCACTAAAGGCCCACGGCAGGAATTTACTGATTTCTCCAAACAATTTGGTATCTATTCATTTATCCCTGTCTTACTTATTTCTCTCAGTAGAACAGAAGCTCTTTAAGAGTAGATTTTTGGATCCCCATTGCCTAACAGTACCAGCTGATCAATCAACAAGGATTTATCAACCACCTCCAATGTACCAGGCAAAGAACTAGACACCAGGGATACAAAAAGTAAGTCAGTCACTGCCCACATGGAGCTTAAATTCTATTGGGGAAACAACTTGTGCACATATAAGTACATACCAGGTATCTAGGAAGGAAGAGAGTATACTAATGTTTAAGAGTCGAGTCTTAAAGAAAGCAGTAGTTGAGGAAGGAGTATGCATATTCCAGGCATGGAGACAGCCCCAGGCACATGGTAGAAAATGCTTAATAAATACTTCTTCAATTGAATTGTTTATTATTACATGCTCTTTACTCAGTAGCTATTACTACAACCCAGTCTTCCTCCAGACATAGGGAAGATGGGGGAAGAAAGTGAGGAGAGAAAAATGACCAAAAAAAAAAAACCCAAAAACAAAAAAAAACAAAAACAAAGTAAAAAACAAAAACCAAAAACACCTGCAAAGGTAAAAGACCCACCCCCATCCCTATTATAAATCATTTCTGGCTCTGGTTAGTCCACATCAAAAGCATCAGAAAACTCTGCACAGTGTCACTGCACTACAGGTAAGTACCCTAATCTTAAAATTCAATTCCCTACCTTGTTAGAAGTTTATCTTCCTTGACATACAATACTCCCCCCACCGCCTCAATTTCAGCCTTGATTGGTTGAGTAGCAAGCCAAGTCTCACACTGGCCAACAGAACTTAAAAAGCATTCTCTCCTAAGCCTTTTTTTTGGGGGGGGGGGGGAGCAGGCGTTTAATGTAGCCCTAAATCCTCTTCGGAGATAATGACACCACTTTTTTGTGCTCCATAAAGGAAAAATTTAGAAGTCTCATCCTGATCTGTAAAAATATTTAATACAATAAATATTAAATAATTATGAGCTAGGAAAATAACAGTGTAGTGGATAGGGAGCTAACTTTGAAATAGAAGAGCCTTGGTCTAACTAAGTGCCCCAGGCAAACTCTCTTAAGTATTTCAGACAGCTTGGTTAAATTCAGATAGAAATGTATCCCAGGAGGCCACAAAATGATTTGGAAAACCACTAATTAACATCATCTATGCTGTACTGTATTTATTAATTTTGTTAAACATTTCCCAATTACATTTTAATCTGGTAAGGAACACACTTTTTAGTTTTGTGCTTTTCTGACACCTCTGCTAAGTTATAGATATGACAGTTCTGCTTTGGTTTTCACAAACCTATAAAACTAAAGGTACCCAGGGAGACAAAAAAAAAGAAATACAATGATAGCTAGGTAGTAGACCATTGCTCAAAAACTAAAGGAGACATAAACAAATTAAAAAGTTCCTGCCACCCCCTCAAGAGTTTATAATCTAGTAGAAAATGAGAGAAGCCCTGTACACATCTCGATGGGATGGAAAGAAGAAATGGGGTGGAAGGCAGTGGAGTCAGAAGCAAAAGCTCCCAAACTTCACACTGAACATTAAAAATCAAACCCCAGTCTTCCCCATCAACTCTCTCCCAAGGGAGCTGAAAACAGTTACAGGTGACACCAGGAGGGATGATGCCCTAGGGACAGAAGGAAGGAGAGGTAACCTCCCCCCCCACCTTGGGAGCAACTGGTTCCAAGAAATATTCCAAGAAATGGTAAGCATCCTGTCCAAGAAAAGAAGGACTAAGAGGAAAAAGTCAGCCCAGGAAATGGGGGAACCTGTCTAGGGGAGAAGAGCAAGCCTCCCAAACGGGATGCAACCTGTTCTAGGAAAAGACCAGAATTGAAGGGAGAAGACTTGGGAATGGGATGCAACCAGTCCCAGGAGAGTGGGAGGCGGGGAGTAAGGGTTGTATGACCCCCAAATGGAAGACAATCTTCTAGGAAAAGGGAAAGGGGGGTAGTCAGAAGATAGTGGGGGGTGTCAAATCCTGGACATAGGAAACACCTGTCCCAAGAGGGCAGTTGGGGGTGTCAGGGTGACTAGGGAAGGAAGGAGCAGGTGTCGGGTCGGAGGTTGAGCAGAGTGGGGGGAGGGGGGAGCAGTTGGGGGGCGAGTGGGGGAGGGGCTGGAGCTTCCAGCCCCTGGAGGGGGAGGGGTTCCTGCTGGGGGCGGGGGAGGGGCGAACTGGGGTCAGGGCGGGGGTAGGGGCCGGCGACTGCGGGGGGTGGGGGTGGGGGGGGGGCTCCAGCCTCAAGGAGAGGAGGAAGCCAGGCCGGGGAAGCGGGGAACCGACCGCAGCGGGGGAGGGGGCGTCAGCGGTCGCGGCGTCCCGGGCTCCAATACGGCAGGACGGCCTAGGCAGGCCACCGCCCCGGCGCCCAGAGTCGGGGGGCGGAGGAGGCCCAATAAAAGTCTAAGACCGAGGCCCGGCCGCCTCCGCTTCCCCCCAACCAGGATCCCTTTCGAGCCTGCCTCCGGGCAGTCCCGCGTCCCGCCCCCGCCCCCCCCAGCCTCTCGCTCACTTACTTTGGCCTCCACCAGCTCCGCCGCCATCTTGGCCACCAGCGTCCCCCGCGCCGGGAGCCCCAGTCGTCGCGTCACGTGACTACCCGCCGCTCGCGGTCGCGGTAACCAATCAACACCCGCCGCCCCGGCCCCCCCCCCCCCACGCCATCCTTAGCCCTTTCTTCCTTGGGCCGCGCTGGCGTCTGGAACTCCGCCCCTCCCTCCAGCCAATCACCTCAGCCGGAGTCCTCTCCGGGCCCCGCCCACTCACCTTCCTCCGGTCCCGGCTGGGTTTCTTAAAGGAGCACCAGAGCCTGCGAGGTGGGGTACTGAGCCGGACCCCAGTGAGGGAGGGGGTAGGTGGCTGGGGTACGGCAAGGGGACAATGTATGTGGGGCCGTCCTGGGCCAGCGAGGCCGAGAAGGTGCCAGGGCTCGGCTGGGTGCGTGCAGCACCGCACTGCAGCCGAGCCCCCGCCGGCCACATTCGGGGTGGGCGGGGGAGCGCTGCTCGGGGAGGAGAGCAGCTCCCGAGGCGGGGCGGCGCGGCGCTGCGCGGCGCGGCGCGGTATGGTATCTATAACGCCGGGCGGCCGCCCGACGCTGCCGATGCTACTACTGCCTGGCAAGAAGCCAGGGAATCGGGGAAGAAGCCGCGGAGACTGCGGCCCCGGGCGTCTGGGTCGTTCGTGGCCTTTGTTGTCACTTAGTGGGAGATGCCGCTGAGTGCCCGGAGGTTGTTTGGCTCGGCGCAAACCCACGAGGGAATGGGGGAGGAGGGAGGGAGCAGAGGAAGGGGCGGGGGAAGGCCGGGGAGACGGCCGACTGGAGGGAGCGCTTCCTTGGAGACTCACCCTTTAACTCAGTCCTAGGAAAGTGGAGGTGGAGGAGGAGGAGGGGGAGGAAACCCGGCGGCGAAGGGGCGGGGCCGCGGCTAGGGAGAGCCTTTTGTTCCGCCGGCCCCGCTGGGGACGGCGAGCCAGGGGCGCCTAAGCCTGCTCTCCTCTGGCCACGCTCCGATCTAGTCCCACTTTCCCGGGCCCCCTCCAGCCTGCAGGGAGCTTGCGGAGAGCCGGCTGCATCGGTTCCCGACGAGCCTCTGCTGTCCTTGTTAGCCAAGAGGCGGCAGTCCTTCCACAATCTACCCCCAAAGTGCTGTTGCAAAGAAAAGGCGTTTTAAAAAGTATAACTAATAAGTGGTTGGCTGTGAATGAGAACCTTCCCTTCTAGCCCACTAGCCTCATCTTATAGATGGGGAAGCTAACGCTAGGCAACAAGCATTTATTAAGCGATTACTGTGTGCCCGGAAAAGAGCTTACTTATCCATCGAGGGAGGCTACTTGCAATTGCCTCTGGACAAACAAATATAGACAGTATAAATTGAGGGTAATCTCAGAGAGAAGGCACTAACATTAAGGGGCATCAGGAAAGGCTTCTTACAGAAGGTCAAATTTTAGCTGAAGGAAGCCAGGGAAACTAGACGGCAGAGATGAGGAGGGAGAGATTTCCAGGGATGAGGGAAAGCTAGTAAAAATGAAAAGCTAACTCCTAGACTCAGTCAGCTAGTATTAAGTACCTACTAAGAAAGACACAAATAGAAAAGAGTCCTTCTCCCAAGAAGCTTCCTGTATAATGGGGAGAGACAACATGTGAACAACTACGTACAAACAAGCTATATACAGGATAAATTGGGAGGTGATTTAATGGGGAACAGTCAGTGAAAACTCTGTAGGTGTTGTGAGAGGAAGAGCAATGAGGCAAGAGAGGGGAAGGTACAAGTTCAAGGTCACACAGTATCAGCTTTCAGAGGATCCCCTTATAATGCTATGATTTAACACACACACACACCCACATACACCCTATAATAATAGCTAGAATTTAGATAGCATCTTAAGGTTCTGCTTTATAAATATTGCCTCATTTGCTCCTCATTATAACCCTGGGAGGTAAATGCTTTTATTATCCTCATTTTACAGATGAGGAAACTGAGGCAAATAGGTTAAGTGACATGCTCAGGGTCATGCAGCTAGTATCTAAAAGCAGAATTTTAATTCAGCTCTTCCTGTCTCCAGGTCCATTGTTCTGTCCACTGCCACCTAGCTGCCTGTTGTTTGGTTTTGTTTTGTTTTGTTTTTAATTTATCTCCCCACCTAAATAAGTTTCTTGATAGGGACCATGTCTTATAATCTGTAACTGCCACAACACCTAGCATAGATCTGAGCACAATACCAGAAAAAGTTTATAGTTATAGCAGCCAGAAGGGACATATGATATCAAATCCAACTCCCTTGTTTTACAACTGGGGAAACTGAGGCACAGAGAGGGCAAAATTATTCATTCCAGGTCACCCAATTATAGCAGATTTTGAACTAAAATTTAGTTCTCCTGAATCCCAGACCAGGTCTTTTTCCAATACATGATAATTCTAAGGCTGCTGTCCTTGGTACATGCCAGTAGATCTTTAGAATGGTACAGTATGGGGCTAACAAATGATATTGTATCTGTTATATGTATGTGTTAGTTGAATGTTGACCAGTGACAGGAATGGGCATAATGAAATGACCTGCTTATCAAATCTGCACATCTGCAAAGGACATATTTTGGATTACTATGTATTAAATAATACATATAGTAATGTATGTCACAATGTTTCAGATAAAATACAATATATTACAATGTATTAGATAAAATACAATGTCTGTTACAATGTATTAGATAAAATTCCATGTGTGTTGCAATGTATTAGATAAAACACAATGTATTATATTACAATGTATCAGAATATGTCACAATATATTGTGCAATATATTACAATATATGTTATACTGTATGTTACAATGTGTTACATAATATGTTACAAAGTATTATAATTATATGTTATGTGTATTATGTACTACATATATTACAGTGTATTATGTAATATATATGTTAGAGTGTGTGTTAGAATGTATTATATAACACATTGGATAACAAAATTGAAATGAAGAAAGAACTGAGCAGAAGAATAATAGATTAAATCAAACAAGATGAAATCTCAGGGATAAATATAAGTTCTGAACTTGAGTTCAACAGGTCAATGATACATTATAAATGATAGCTATAAAGAATATAAGAGAAAAAAAGAAACTATCTCTTTGAAATCATGCAAAGCAATTATCAGTAGAACCAGGGCCATATATAGAGATGTAATGAGGACAGAGGATATTGACAGCACGGAGGGCAGGCAAATCAGCCTAGCTGTGAAAACAAGGCCACCTGAGCAAGAAAGATGAGGTAGCAGCATGTGGCAGACATCTTAACCACTATCTCTTCTATCCTGTCGAAAAGGCCCAGGGCCCTGAACCCAAGAACCTGGGGAATAGGGCCAGCCCTACTCCAACTGTTTGATGCCTTGGGGTACCGATAAACTTCTTTTGTCTTAAAAAAAAAAAACCAAACCTAGGGTATAGAGATGCTTCCAGCCCTGTACCCTCAGCCATCATCCTTGCAATCAGCACCTATGGGAATGCAGCCTAGCAACCACTCCTTCAGGTAGTAGCTACAGCCCAAGTTACTGAGGATTCAGAAAAGAAAGTTTTCACCATCAAAGTCCCTGACACTGTCACATGATTCAGCATAAGAAATGTATATGATTTTCATCAGTGGAAAAGACATTAAAGAAGAAACATTACAATGTGCTTTGCACCCTAAGGACCACAGGATTTTACCATCTGACATAGCTAAACCGTACATACGTTTTGTCTCCTCCCATTAGAATATGTGCTCTTTGAGAGCAAGGACTTGTCTTGCTTCATTCATCCATTCATTCACTTATTTATTTTCATTCACTTGTACTATGTCACTGGCTAGAAACAAGCTTAGTAACAAGTTAGCAAGAATAAGACAAAATAGGAAGCTTTTCAGGTTAATAGTTACCAACTTCCTTTGCCCCATCACCATAGCCATATTCCAGGTGAAGGTTTAGGCTTTGCTGCTCCTCCCATAGACAATAGCCTTACCAGCTGCAGCTTTTTTTTTTAACATATTAATGTGCTTTAGTGGAATTAGGACACCCTATGTTCAAATCTTGACTCCTATTGAAAATGATAATAGCCAAAAATTTATATAGCACTGCTTTACAAATATTCCATTTGTCTTATTTGTAGTACCTCCCTTTCGGGGGAGGTAGGCACTCTTTTTACTCCCATTTTACAGATGGGGAAACTATAGAGTTAGTGACAGATTCACCCTGCTAATAAGTGTCTAAAATTAGATTTGAACTCAGGTCTTGCTGACTCCAGGCCCAGTGCTCTATCTACTGTACCAACTAGCTGCATGCTATGAATAAGTACTTAGCCTGTGTCCTCATCTATAATATAAAGTTAATATTATCTATAATGTTCACAAGATTGTTGTTGAAATTCACAAGTGATAGTGTAAAGTACATTGTGAAATTTAAAGTGTTATATACATGTCAGTTATTTTTATTTTTGTTGTTTGAGGGGACTTTTTTATGCCACTTCTTGCCCTGGGTGCCAAAATTGGCTAGCTGTCACTCTGACTATATACACATTGACTATAACTAATTTCTAAAAATACAATAAAGCCAAAGGTAGTAAAACTTCCAGTGGACTTGGAAGAGGGCACAGAATGAATGATTGTGTATTAATTTGTTTAGGTCTACTTTGTTAAAACTAAAAGTTTTATGTAGATCTGATTCCTTATTTTGTTTATTTTTCTATCAATGATCAATATGTATATAATAGAAATGTTTAAAAATTCAATAGCATAGCAGTTAAAGAATAAAAGCAAACAGTTCTCAAAAGAAGAATTATAAATGATTAACAACCATGTGAAAGATTACTCCAAATCACTAATAATAAGAGAATTAAGAATCAAAATGAGACATATTCCAAATTGACAAAAATGACAAAAGATGGAAATAGTATATGTTGGAAGGGCTATGGGAAGAAAAGCATACTATTACACTATTGATGAAACTGAATTGCTCTGACCAATTTGGAAAGCAATTTGGAATAACACTAAAAAGAAGTGGCCATACTCTTTGACCCAGAGGTCCCATTGCTAGTCATATATCCCAAGGAG